GCATTGGAATTGGGGACCTAGGTAAGTTGTGGACTCGTCATCCCGGGAAATTTTCAAGAACAGTTTGGGCAGATACTTGGCTGGGATGGTTTAGTCCAGGATGATCCTGCCTTGACCTTGTGAGGTCTCTTCCAGCCCTACGTTCCTATGAAAACTTACACTGACCTGAACTAGAGCAGCTGGTGTCACTAAAGAGGGAGATGTTAAAAAGTGTTTAATGACTTTTATACAACTTTATTTTGGACACAGAAACTGTGCTATCTTCTATCATATAAAGGTATCATGGGGCAAGGTGTCACTCTTACCCTGTAAGACAAAAAGACCCCTTTGGGCAAGTGTCCGTAGGTAGTGAACATTCATTTCTATTCCACAGTTCAAAGTTAGTCCGCTAGAATGACTAACTATACAAACGGACTTTTTTTTTTTTTCCAATCCAAGGCCACAAAGAGCTGAAAACTTACTTAATTACCACCCATTTTCCTGGCTAGAAAACTTCTTTTTTGTGAACATGATAGAGATGATATCAATTTTTTAAAAAGTCAGTTGCTGCCCCTTTAGTTGGTTGTCATTAAGTCTGCAATCAATGAGGGAGACTAAGTTAAGTGGAGACATGCTGGAGAAAAGCCTTTGGTTACAATTAGCTTCAAAATCATCCCACTCATGCACAGAGAAACGCTGAGGAAAGGAATAGGGCATAAGGAGTCCCGTCTCTCATCCTATAGATCAAAGGCAGTAACAGCAGTTAAATGAACACTATGTTATGCATATGTAGGCTACTAATCTGAACCCAATTACCATAGTACATGAACCGTAGAGTCTTCACTGTATTTATCTTCACAGCACCCCTGCCAGGTAGGATAGCACTGTCATCCCCATATCCCAGCTGGGGAAGTGAGACACAAAACTGATGGACTGCCCTAAGGTTCCAAAAAAAAAAGACCCTCCAGATCCCCCAAATCAACCAGCTATGGGACAATCCTTCTCTGTCTTTCTTTTCCTTCCTTTCTGCATAGACCAGTAGCTCTGATCCTTTTCAGACTCAAGGCACCCTTTGGAAAATGCTAGCCCCTAGATTTCACTTGTTTTCTTACTACAGAAAAATAATAGAGCAATTCTTCTGCTGCAAAGAACTCTGAAAACGGCAACAGGGAAAAAAGTTTTTGACACTATGGATTCCAGGTTTGTCTTGTGAATCATGTGCAAGTGTTTGCACACCTAACAGTGCTAATACTGCATGATACAGAGGCACCCAGAAAAGGATCTCAAGGTACCCCAGGGTGCTGCAGTACCATGGTTGAGAGCATCTTCCCCTGAATCAGCCTTGAAGCCTCTCTCTACCCACTTCTCCTTCAGATCTCACCTATAGGCTGGCAAAGTGAAAAACAGGAATTCAGAGTGGATCGGTTAAACAGGATCTATCCAAAATGTGGATGCCCTCATTCAGAATGAAAAAGGCCTTCATTCAGTTTAGCTTAATTCTGTTTGGAATAAGAGTCCACTTTGGAGATAAGACAGATGAACTTTTCTGAACGTTGTATGTGAACAAGCTGCAAGTTCCACTTCAAGCCATGTCATCATGGCTCTAGTGAGAGAGTTAACACCAGCATGTTGACCAGGCAGACTATTTCATAATGTTCTCAAAGTGAATGGGGTCAAACATTTTTCTTTTCAAAATACACCTTTGTTTTCACTGGCTATTATTCTTTCTAAGTCAGGGATATCTGGAAGGATGGTACGGGCCCAACGCTGTGATTAAGGCAGCTTCATTACTATAAAGAATCAAGATGTCAACTGAATAGGATACAAAGATCTACTTTAACACAGTCCCCCGCAATTGGTTTTCATGAGTCCCTTAAGCCTCTTTAAGTGTACATGCTCTAGATACTTTGTAATAACCACTATATTTTTCCATCCACTGATGATGATGATATGTCCTATGAGGAAAGTTTTGGTTCAGAACAAAAGGTAAGTCACTTAGTGAGACCAACTCCATTTGTAGGTACAGGCTTCTGTAGCTCCTTTTTCTCATCATCCCCCAAAATTGTCTCCGATGTGCTTCATCTTTAGCCTGTACAAAGGAAGAACCATGCTGGCTAACTGCCTATAGAGCATGCACATTTTTGCTAGAAGGCTTTGTTCCTTTATACACAAGCCCTTTGAATTTCACACTGGATTTTAACCTTGCCATTGCAAGAAAAACTTTTGCAATTACCACCACCTCCTCCTTCAAAGGAAAAAAATGAGAGTGCTTGTGCTGCTTTGCACTTCTAAAACATGTGCAGCTGAAAATAAGCAATAACCTTAAATAGCCAGTGGGAGAAAAAAAAAAACTTGCTGAATGCTTTCCTCTTTTTCTGTTCAAGTAGCACAGCAAATCAGAAAGGAGATCAAGGTGAATGAGGAAGGGAGGCGAGAGTATGCTAATCGCACACAAGCTTAATAAATATAAATGAACTGTTACATCATTAGCTGTAGACAAAGTCAGAGCTGGATAAACAGTCTAACAAAGCTGTTTTCTGCAAGACATTTTTTTTTGTAGCTATTTGCTAATAAGGGACAATATGAAAAGAATCCCATTAAAGCCTTGCTCAATAATTTAAATTACTGAAAACCAACACTTAATATTAAAAATATAGGTTATTTCACATGATTTATGCTCTGTTTTTTTCTTGGCTGTCTTACAATTAAAATCAGATCAGACACCTGCAAGGCAATTTTACTTCCTGGCTCTGTTATACACTAGCATCAGCTGCATCAGGGAACATCTATTGTTAATGGGAATAATTCTATTGATGTCCAGATTTGGAGGTGAGACTTTAAAAAAACCTAAATTTTAAACCAAGTGTGACCCTTTGGCTACCACAGCCATGGAGATGAGAGTGCACCAGGGAGGCCTTGATCCTAATGAATGACAGGTATGCAGGTTTTCAGCCTGCAGCGCGGTTACAATGACTGGGTGGTAGCTGGGGCATACCTGGGCAGATTCAATGCAGAGCAGAGTTGTATTCAGAACCATATCTCCAAACTCATTTGCATCTCTCTCTCATAGCAGTCCTAGCAAAATACTCTGAAAATATATATAAGGTATTTTAAAATTGTTTTAGTCTCAATTCTGTCTCTCGGTCAGCTACACAATCCTGAGATAATCATTTCATGTCTGTGACTCAGTTTCCCCATCTGTCAAACAGGGAGAATGGCAGCTGATGTCCTTTATAACATGTCTTGAGAGCTACAGATGGAAGATACTATCTGAAAACTAAATATTGTAATCACATTACTGCAGAGTTTACATGTTATAATTTATACGTTAATTGAGCTTATAGACTGTTACACGGTTCGGCCAGTAAATAGGTTGCTTACAACCACGCTTCTGAACATATATTATGAACATGCTACAGACATTACTAGTAGATACTTTTTTAAAGGATTTGCAAACTAGAACCTTAATATGCAGCAAGATAGTTTAATTAGTATGGGTTTTTTTGGCAATTTTCTAACCTGACAAATTCAGCATGAATATGCAGTCTTCTCTTAATACCAGTATTTTAATAGCAACTTTTAAACTAAAGTGGTAGTGTATAGTTATAGTGCAGTCATTTGAGTCTCAACAATGCTGTATTGATTTAAAAAAAAACAACCCATCATCTCAGGATGATGTGGTGTAGCACTGCAGACCCACAGAGAAATTTAAATAAGGGTGAAGAGGGGACAATACACATTGGGCCGATTCATCCAAGCAGCCTCAGGGAAATATTAATTACTTCTGCCTCCAACAGTGTGACTCTCTGTCCCTGTGGGGGGAACTGCTGTGATGAAATGAAGTATTGCTCTTGCCTTCCTGGGGGAGTGAGCTTGTTAGCTGATGGTAGCTTTAACTTAAAGACTGGGACTGTATATGAACCCTGACAACAGACACTGTTAAGGAGTTAGACTGAAGCAATGCTTCTTCTTAACCAGTGACTCCTGGTGTGTGTGTATTGATTTAAACAAACCTCCGAGGGAGATAAGATTATAGGTGCATTGCACACCTAGCAAACTTTCTTCCATCTGTTTGCTAGCAGAAGTCAGCATAAAACCCGATTAAAATCTGATTGATCTTCATACAGCAGTTGCAAATCATTTGATTGGGTTTTTTTTCACCTTTGTGATTGGATGCCTAGCTGCCTTTCTGCCCTACTCCAATGGTTCTGGTTTAAAACATAATTATTAAAAAAAAATTAACATAAAAATGACTTTTGAAAGGTTCATACATATAAAAACCGACAAGTGCAAAGTGATGCACCTGGGGAGGAACAACTGGCACCATACCTACAGGCTGGGGAAATCCCTTCTCATCAGTACAGAGGCGGAAAAGGATCTTGGAGTCATCATTGACTCCAAGGTGAACATGGGCCGGCAGTGTGGAGGTGCAGTCAGAAAGGCCAACCGTACCTTGTCATGCAACCACAGATGTATCTTGAGCAGGTCCAAGGAGG